GCGTGTGTGTGTGAACTAGGCCTGCCCACGGTATGCGCTGGCCCGCTCGGTGTCGGTGCCCGCTCGCCTCCCTGCCGCCGCCTCGCACCGCTCCCCCGCCCTCCCTCATCCATCCACATGAGAGGCCCTCCCTGACCCCGCACCTCCCTGCCGCTGCCGCAGGGTGAGTACGTGGCGCCGGAGAAGATAGAGAACGTGTATGCGCGCTCGCCCTTTGTCATGCAGTCGTTTGTGTACGGCAACTCGCTGCGGGCACAGGTGCGTGGAGGGGCCAGGCGGCAGCAGCAGGCAGCGCCTCGGGCTTGGCAGCGCAGGGGCTGGGGCAGGGGCTGGGGCAGGGGCTGGTTCACGGCTTGGGCTGGGGCTAGTGCTGGGGTGACGCCAGGCAGCATATGCGACGAGCCTGGCAGGCAGCGTGGGTGCACCGTGTGCGTCCTGGCTAGGGGGCGGCGCCGCCCGTCTTTTTTTCGCTGTGTTCTTTGCTCACCAGCCGCCGCCATGCCGCGTATCCTACGCCTCGTCTGAGCCGTGCGCCCCGGGCCTCTTGCCTGCCTGCGCCCCCCCTTGCTGCAGCTAGTGGCGGTGGTGATCCCAGACCCGGAGTACCTGCTGCCCTGGGGCAAAGAGCGGGGGCTGCCCGCTGACCTGGCGCAGCTGTGCCGCACGCCGCAGGCGAGTGGGGTACTGCGGCGGGAGGCGAGGCCGGGGCGCAAGGCGCGGCCCCCAAGCTGCAGCTGCAACGGCTGCTGCAGCCTGCTGCCCGCCCTGCATGCAACAACCTCCTTTCCTCGCCCGCCTGCCTGGCCGCCTGCCTGCTGCCGCAGCTGCCTGCTCCTGGCTGCCCCGCTGCCGCTGCCTGCGGTGCCTGCCCTTCCTTCCCACCCGCCCGCCTCCTCCGCTGAGGCCCCCTGCAGGTGGTGCATGCGGTGCTGAAGAGCATGATGGAGGAAGGACGGGCGGCTGGGCTCAAGGGCTTTGAGCAGGTGGCTGCCGTGCACCTCCACCCGGACCCGTTCAGCGTGGAGAACGGCATGATGACGCCCACCTTCAAGCTCAAGCGCCCGCAGGCGCAGGCGGCGTTCCAGCCTGACATCGACGGTGAGAGCGGGCAGGCGCCTGCTGGGGTGGTGGTCAGCCGGCGGAGGCAAGCTGGGGCCTTGTGTGCAGCGGGAGGCGGGAGGCCGGCTGCCGCCTGCCTGCCCACCAGCGTGCCGCTGCTGTGTCGGGGTGCGCCGCGACCGGTGTGGGCAGCACGGGGGGCTCTGCGCTGGCTTGCCAACGGCTGCCGCGCCCTGCCCCCTCCCCCATGTGAGTGCAGAGATGTATTCCAAGCTGCCGCAGTTGTGACCCGGTTCTGCACCGCGTGCCAGCCGGGCCGGCGCTTGACGGCACAGACCTGCGCAGCGCTCGCCATAGCCCGCCTTTCCGTCGGGACCCAACCCCAGTACCTGGTGTGCCCTGCCTGCCACTGTAGCTCTAGTGACTCTCTCTCTGCCTGTGTACATGTGTTGCCTGTGGCAGGACGGGGTGGCCAGCCAGTTTTGATGTAGCAGTAGCGCAACCCTCTTCCTTTAGTGAGCCCAATTTTCCCTGGTGCCACCCTTTTCCCGCCGGGTGCGGCCACGATGCATACCCAAATTTTGATTACACATGTAGAGAGCCCCGGAAGTGCGCGAGGAGTGCAATGCCAGTACAATCTCACTGAAGGGCAGTTCTGTTGGGGCACAGGAGGGGATACCAGGGGATACCTTGGGATACCAGCTTGTTTAGAGCCGCGCGTGTCGCTCAGCTGGCGGCGGCGACCAGCCCGGGGTGCAGCTGGTAGTTGGTGCACAGCACCGTGCCTCGGGTCAGCTCCCGCTGCCCCGAGGGCCAGTTGACGATGGTGATGCCACCGTTGCTCATGTGGAACAGGCTCCCCACCGCCGCCGCGCCCCGCGCCGGCGGTGCCACCTGCTCCTCTTGCCCCTGCGCCTGCGCCTGCTGCTGGCCGGCACCCGGCGCCGGCGCTTGCCCAGGCGGCGGCGCAGGGGCAGCCTCCGCGGCGCCCAGGCATGCGCCCAGCAGCTGCTGGCAGGCCTCGCCGCTGGCGACCGCCACCACTGAGCGGCCGTCGCCGGGGGTGGCCAGCGCGGCCTGCAAGCACGCAGGGAGCGGCGTGAGGGAGGTCAGATGCTGCCGTTTGTGCGCGACACCAGCCCACAGGCACCAGCCCCAGGCAGGTGGCCCAGCGCCGCAACACACGATCCCGTGCACTGCATACCGTCACCGCCACGCGGCGGCCCTAACAGCAGCGGGGCTAGCCAGGCCTCCCCACCTGCATCGCCGTCGTTATATCCAGCACCTGCTGTGCCGTGCTGCCGATGCCGATCAGCGGCGGCGCCGTCGCGCCACTACTGGCCAGCAGGTTGAGGGAGGCCTGTGCGTGCGGCGGTGTGGGGGTGGGCCGGGGCAAGCAGTTCAGGGCGGCAGTTCAGGGCAGTTCAGGGAGGCAGGCCAGGTAAGAGGGCCACCGCCGCTGGAAGGGGAGGTGATGGGTGGGGGCTTTGCCCAGACCGGTCCTTGTCAGGGCTGGGGCTGGGCCTGGGGCTGGGCTTGGGGCTGGGCTTGGGGCTGGGCTTGGGTGATTTGTTGTTGTGCTCCTTGTCGGGTGAGGGGGATGGCTTGGGCGATGGCTTCTGCAACAGCAGCGGCAGGCAGGAGGCAGACAGGGGTGTGGGGTGCCAGCAGATGGCGAGGCGGCCCCGCAGCCGCTGACAGCTGGGCCTCACTCAGGCACCTTCTACCACAGCCGTGCATACCGGCTTGGGGGATTTGTCTGGCCGGGGGCTGGGCTTGGGTGACTTGTTGCTGTGGTCCTTGTCGGGTGAGGGAGATGGCTTGGGCGATGGCTTCTGCAGCGGCGGCGGCAGGGGCAGCGGCCGGTGTGTGCAGCAGATGGCGGCAGGCAGGCATGCGGCAGCAGTTCCGCGCCGGCGGCCTTGCGCTGCGCCTTTTAGCACATACCGGCTTGGGGGACCGGTTGTGGTGGTCGTCATCACCCTTGTCTGGCTTGGGGCTGGGCTTGGGGCTGGGCTTGGGCTTGGGTGACTTGTTGTGGTGCTCGTCCCTGCCGGCGCAGGCAGGACGGTGCAGGCAGGGTGGCGCAGGCAGGCGGGGAACGGCAAGTTGTGCTTGGATGGTTGGTGGCAGCCTGGGTGCGGCACATTCGCCCAAACTTCGGCAGCTGCTCACCGCAGCGCTGCTGGCAGCAGAGGCAGCGGCTGCAGCAAGGCGGCGGCTGCAGCAGAGGCGGCAAGCAGGCAGGCGAGCGCCGTGAACC